CATTAATGTATTATTCTCTGAAAGATTATTTGAAATGAGAACTAAAGATTAACATTAATGTAGTATTCTCTGAAAGATTATTTGAAATGAGAACTAAAGATTAACATTAATGTAGTATTCTCTGAAAGATTATTTGAAATGAGAAACATATAATCAGAAGAGTTAAACAGTGTTGTTGAGAATAGAAACATCATACACACAAAAAAAATAACGATTTTATTTGTTAAGTGGACATGGTCTAGGATTAGCGTTCCGGCTACAAATTATAAAATCCAAAATTCGAGTCATGATACGTCGCTGAACACTCTCTACACTTCCAGCTGTGTAGTCGCTGCAACGGAGACAACCAATCCCGCTATCCAGTTAAGATCCTAACCAGGTAGTAGTTCTAAAGTAAGGTTGGCTGTGCCTCTTTGGATCTGAACTGGTGGCCCCAGCGTGACATAGTGTTGGCATATCGAACTGGGATCCAATAATTTTGGGTTCGAGATATAGTGCTATCAAGCACCCTTCGTACTTTCAGCTGTGTGTGTGCGTTATAAGAGTGATAGCCAATCCCGTTCTTCGATTAAGAGTAGTCACGTCAGACGGCTTCTGTTTCTAACTCCCTCTGGACAGCTAATGGACATTGCTTACGGAGCCTTTCATGATGAAAAACAGAAGACTTATTTGAATGGACAGTTATATTAGACAAAACCAGAGAGTTACTCGTTTAGTGTTGAAAAAATACATTTTCTAATCGATCTTTAGTTTCTGTTGATTCAAGTAATATCTTTATTCATATCTTAGCTGTTGTAGCATTGCAACACTCAATTATTTGTTTGTATCAACTTGTCAATCATGATCTACACTAATGTAACAAACTTCCTTCCAGACCAAACTGGCTACAATACATTTTATTGGGAATCAGAGGTAATCTGTTGACCAATTCAAAGTACAAAGCAAGGTTCAATAAAATGTGTTTCAACGAAAAAGTCATCAGTTTAGAACTTTGACAAAGCAGCTGTTGTTTTATTCTTTTTAGATATAGTTACAAAATCGTATGTAACACACGAGCTTTAATACTAAAACTCAACTCAGTGGCACAAAAATTTCATTATTTGCCAAACTTTATATTTTAAGTGTTTTGAGAATGATAAACAGTTTGGTTTGGCGTTTATGGATGTCAAGTTCATTATAGGTTCAATGATACTGTAGGATTTAAGTTTGTTTGTTTGGAATTTCGCGCAAAGCTACACGAGGGCTATCTGCGC